AATAAGGTAACTTCTGTGCTAAACTGGACCCATTTAAATTAAGAACCTAAATATTTTTGTGTTATCTGTTAACCATTTACATAATAAAATATATTCCAACATGAATTTTATAATTATTAATTAAAAAATGGCTACTAAAAAATAACCTCAACATTTTACTTTATTTATTTAGAAAACATTTCGATTAAACTGTAAATAAAAAGCTTTTAATAGTTAAAATACATATTATAATGAACTAAATATTACTAGCTTCAATTGAAATTTGTAATTATCTCAACATTTGAAAAATAAATCTAAATATATGTAACTTAAAATTAATTACATGAGACAATTAATCGATACAACATCGTAATATATTTTCAATATAAGTCATAATATGAAATTGACTCATTTCTCTATCAGGCTTACGAGGCAAGTCTCGGGACTTGTTCATTGAATCATTACTGCTTTGATGGGAATATAATGAACGTAACGATAACGAACTCCATATAATGGTAATACCTTGTTCACACATATGCTTAGATATATGCACAAAATACTATGAATTATCTCGTATTTTTAAGGTTGACTAGAAACATCAACCCATCGAAATTAGTTCCCTTTCTTTAGGTATTTTATAAGGTAATTCTTTTCTTCGTTTTTTAATGTTAAAAAACTAGCAGTTGCTCGCGACTTAAACCTTGTGAAATATAAAAATATATCCTATGTTACTGATAACGTAGCTTTTTGATGGTGAAAGAATTATTAACATCGGCACAGAATTTTTTGAGTTATTGCAATACATGCAAAAACACAAATCTTTTCTCTTTATTCCACTTACTAAAACAAGGAGGTACTTAATTCGTCTGTATGTTTTGTTTTTATTTATTTTTTTATGTGGCATTTTTGTACGGTATAACTCTGCCGCTAGTGGGCCGATTTTGATGATTCTTTTTTTATCCGAAAGGTAGTGCTTGCAGGTGGGTCCCATTTTTTTGTTTGATTTTTTATACTATGAGTATAAATAGTTATTTATACTATTATTAGCAAAAGGCATAAAATAACACTAATGCTTTTTGCAACGTGCTCGAAATATTAAGCAATTGGAAAGAAAGAAAACTCCCTTCGTTTAACTGTTATATCTATATGGTACAATTTTTGTTAATTTGAAGTGGCGTCGTTCAAGATAATACTACGTACTGTATACTTTTGATAGTGTATGTCATGTGATGGTAAAAATTTAGTAAGCCATGTCTCAGACACTGTGTACGGCTGACACCGACTTTATAGTAACAGTAATTGTACAATCATACTAATATTATAAATGCGAAAGTTTAGATCGATGGATGGATGTTTGTTAGAGTTTGTAGCCTGAACGGAAACGGCTGAACGGATTTCTATGAAATATGGTAGAGATGTAGAGGATAGTGTAGAAGTCGCGGGCGATAGCTAGTTGTACAATTTGGACATAATAGCTACAAAAGGGGAATCTTCATTTTTATTGCTTTTTGATATAAATGAAAATAGATATAATGTTTGGAAGTCACAATTATTTCAAAAGTTTTTAATACTAGATTTTTTGTTTAATTTTCGAATGAAGTCGCGGTTAAATGCTAGTCTTATATTAATTTAATATTATTAATGCTGACTGCTAACAACTTTTCGTTCTATAACGGAGACCACATGAATCAATTTAAGTTCTAAAGTGAATAAAGTACACCAATAAATAACAACTCAAGTTAGTTTGAATATTTTTTCTTAGAAGTCAGAAAATACTTTATTTAATAAACCACTTAACTACACGTTAAATTTTTTTACAATTTTATATTGTAAAAACTTGTACTGTACTAACTTTTATGAAGTAAATATATTCTGAAGAGGAATGATTTGTATTTTTGTATAAATTGAAATAGCTCAAAAACTACAGGGCTGAATTCAAAAATTCTTTCGCCAGTAAAAACCTACGTTATGAGTAACATAGGCTATACTTTCATTATTTTTTAAATTAAACGCGGACAAAGTCGCGAGCAATCGCTAGTAAGTAGAAGCTAGTGAGTCGTCATATATTTAGTTTCACTTATGCTCGTTGAGTCTTATCTTGTCAGTCTGTACGTTTCGGTGGATGGATGTTATTAGAGTTTGTGGTCTAAATTGCTGAACGGATCTGGATGAAATTTACCACAGATGTAAAGCATAGACAATTGTTGCGAACTGAAACGATTCGATAACTTTTTAATTATGTTTATTAATCACCTTCTGATTTAACAAACCAACATAACCATAGCAGCCTATCTATACTTCTATACTATTATAATAAAGCATAAACACACACTTCTTTGTTGTCTAAGATGTCAGCAATCACGGCATATTTTTGAATAATTATTTTTTTTAATAAAAAGCCCTACACTTACGTCACGCTTTAGTCTATATTTTTTCACGCCATTAAACTTAGGGAGTAAATATCTTGGATAAAAACCCTAATGTGGGAAACAGACCATAAGTTGCTGCCAACATTAAGAAAGCCATGTTGCCATGGTTCGTCAGCGTCATGTCATTTTGGCATTTGCAATTGATAATTTGACAAATGTAAAAAATAATATAAAATTTTCATAATTTAATGCGGATGAAGTCGCAGGGGAATAGCTAGTTTTATATAACGATCAGAGAGTATCAAAAATCTGTCATAAATTAAAAATCTTATTATCAAAGAATATAACATTTAACACTAGACTTACTCTTAATTTTTTAAATCCCACGAGAACGGTGTCCCTAAAGCTAGTATTGAAGAAATTTTGATAAACAAATGAGTCTGATTTCAATCAAACATTTGGTTGCTAACAAAGATTTAATTGTAATTAACAAGCGAATCAAATTAAACTGTTGGTAGTTCGTTAGTTGTGTAAATTATTACTGGTTAGTTATGGCAACATTTGATTATGAGCTAACAGACTGTATTAACTAATTAGGCAGACTTGTAACCATATTTCAATATCGACTTTTGGAACTTTTCGATTACTGAAAAGTACTTTTTTAATATACTACGATGTCTTCTTAATAATACGGTATAATAACAATTTTATATTACTTAAAAGAAGTCATCCTGTTAACTTGTTCAATACACAGGGTGATTGTTAACGGACGAATCACAAGATTTGTAGATGTAGATGACCTCAATAGCTATAGTTTAGCGAAGTATGTTGCCCGATTTTCTATATTTTTAAAGTTATTTAATGGTTTTAAAAAGCTAGCTTTTGCCCGCACTCAAACCGCGTGGAATTAAAAAAAAGTAAGTAGCCTATGTGTTTTTTCAGATTATATTCTACATCTATGCATAATTTTATTCAGATCCGTTCAGCGGTTTACGCTACAAACTCTAACGAACATCCATCCATCTAGACTTTCGCATTTATAATATTAGTAAGATTTAACTCGAGATATCGAGATTCATAACTTAAGTCGACGTTTATGATTTTCATGGTGAATTCGACATACTATTAAAAAATGTAAGCATGTAATTTAAAGACGTATTATGTGTAATTTAACATGAAATTTAGTAAAACCAGTACTAACTCACAAGTTGCCACAATATCATTACATAATGAGGTGACATACAAAAGTTTTAAGTCACTTTTACGTTCCGAACTACTAAGTGGGGCTTACAATTTCTAACATTAAATGAGGTCAAGCCCTAATATTGAGAACTTTTAGTGTTCAAATGTTTGATCCCCTTTTAACATTACTTTAATAACATGACAGCACAAATGTTTGCGTCTCTATTATTATTTAAAACCTTTGAACGTTATACTTTTTTTAAATACAAGTAGATTTTTGTTAATATCTACTATTTCTTCTCCCATTCCAAATAAGTCCTAGTATATGGTTTACGACAGTAATTAAATGGCGGGATTCGATGATTCACGTGGACGGGAATTCGTTCTCCTAACCATTAGACTATTGGCACTTAGTTACTAATAGGGTTACCAGTTTTTAGAAACTGTTATAACGTTTTTATTCTTTTGTTTTAAAATTCGCTTAAAAGCGTGTTGCTTCTCACTATATGCCCATAGCGGTGCACATGCAACAATGAAATTTAATCAACGTACCGTACTTTATGACTCGGAAAAACATTCGCTTTGAGTTTTAATTAGAAACATACTAGTGTAGTGCTTTTCAAAGTGTTTGACTTTGTAAAGCAATAAAATGATAACTAGCCGAAGTTCGACACATACTTTTGTCTATAAACAGAGTTCGATTTAATTTTACCTTTTATTAATTACAAATGCGAGAGTATTTTTTTTAAATTGCAAATCCAGCGCTTGACCACTATCCCTCCCAGACAAAGGTGAAGATGTGGTCGAAGGATGGTAAGCGCTAGTTTAGTAAGTAGTTTAATTTAGTTTACTGTTTATAATTAGAATAGATGTAGTCTAAAATATATAGCCTGTTTACTTTTGTATCTTTTTATTTAATTTAACTCCACAAGGGCGGACTCATGGGAGAAAACCAGTTCATTAATAACTTACTATTACGACCAACATAATTGTAAAATCATGTCGTAGTTTTATGGGAGGGTACGTTGGATATTGGTTTTTTAAACATTTTTTATTTTGGTTTCTTCAATGTGTTGCTGTTTTAAAAAAATCAATTGAATTGATTTATTGTATTACTTTGTTTCGTTTTTCAGGAATGCTATCGTATTGCAAATAACGTTCAGACTAGATCTTATTTTGTTTTATTAATAAAGTTTTTATGCGGTCTGAATAGTGCCAGATTTTATCCATTGAAATTGATATATCTGTGAGAGCGATTGATTACAGCCTGTAATGATCAGTCTTGGAGAAATTATTTACTCTTATAAGTGTATCGAATGACTCCAGTTTCCAGTTTACAAATGATTTTTAATATTCAAATATTACAATATATGTGTTATTTCTTTAGGACAGCATTTAAAACATGCCACGGACTTTTGTGTACCATTACACATCAACAAATTTTACTAGAAATATTTTATTGAGTTGCTATTGAAGTTTCAATAGTAAGAAGTGATGGCATAAAGGCTGTTATGTGCCATCTAACATGCAGGGCTGTAGCTTCTACTTGGTGTGTTTAATCATTTGCTGCATGCAAACGGTTACAGGTGAGTTTAAACTCTATTATTATAACAGTTAGGTACAATTTCGTAGTGCAAATTAGCATTGAATGTCATTTTTTTTTTAATTTGGAGAAATTAACTCAAGACATTGTTTTAGACACTCAGCAAATTACAATAAATAACACAGGCAACGAAATTACCGACTATAGAGATAATAAAAAGGATGGCCTTGCTATATCCAGAGAAATATTCAGGAATATCACAAAGAAATTGCGTGAAAATTTTAATAGTGAAGTCATCGCTGATGTTAATCATCAAAAGATGAAAGGTATGACCTGATGTTGATAATAAATATAGAACAGTATTTATTTAGCGAGATTAAGTTGAAATTTATTTACAAATAATATTTTGCTATCCTAGTTGGAGTGCGCTAAGTGCTTGCAGCCACAATCAATCGTTTGATGGTTACTTTAAGTGTAATGTAGTTTAGATTTCTCTGCCCTCCGCACTCAGGGTTAATTGCTCATTAACTTCTTTGGTGCGAGTTTAATCTAAGCGACCTATGTAAGCATTATAAATCTGTTTTACGAAAGACGAAATGAGCAATATTAAAGACTAGCTGTTCCGTGTGGCTTCTTCCACATGATTCAGTATTTTATGCCTGACAATTTTGTACAAATCATTTACCCCCTAATTTAAATAACGTGAAAATTGTTGTGTTGTGTTGTAACGTGAAAATTGTGAAAGTTGGTGTAATACTTATTAAAAAAGTATTTTTTTAAAACATACCGTGATTGCTGAGATCCTACATCACATAGAATAGTGTGTTTGTGCTTTATTAAATTACTAGCTTTTCCCGTGCGGCTTCATCCGCACGAAATTATGAAAATATTATTTTGTTGTTTACATTTGTCAAATTATCAATTGTAAATGTCAAAATGACATGACATGACAAACCATGACAACCTTGCTTTCTTGATGTTGGCAACAACTTATGGTCTCTTTCCCACATTAGGGTTTTAATCCAAAATATTTACCCCTAAAATTAAAATTACCGTTACCATAATAACCTTGTTTGCTTAATGTTGGCAGCTTGTAGTTTATGGTCCCTTTCCCACAGGAAGGTTATTTTTGAATTTATTTACCCTTAGTTTAATAGGGTGAAAATAAACAGTGTCGTAAGTGTAGGGCTTTTTATTAAAGAAAGAATTATTCAAAAATATGCTGTGATTGCCGACATCCTTCGCCACAAAATATTGTGTGTTTACTTTATTACAATAGTATAGACTATAGATAATGAACTAGGGAAGTGGAATATTAAAATGATTTGTGATTCCAGTAAAAACAAACGAGCAACGTAATTTTGCTCCTTATCAAGGGTATCACCATCACGAGCAGCACTGGGGGCCGTACTTCGAGGAGAGTAATGTCACACAAATGGAGGCACACGTGGGATCGGAGGCTTTGTTAAATTGTCGTGTCGTCATGCTCAAAGATAAAACGGTGATTTTCTTTTTTTATCACATTTGCAAATATATTAGCTGGAATTTCATGTTTTTCATCCTAATGCGTTGTGGTTTATTATGTAATTTTTATTAAAGAAATATTTTTATTATTTAGGTAATGTGGCTTCGAAACACGAGTGACGTGGCGCAGTTATTGACAGTCGGGAGAGAAGCGCATGCTGGTGACAGCAGGATCACTGTGAAGTTCCAATATCCAAACAATTGGAGAATTAGTATTAACCCTGTGAAGGCGTCAGACGAAGGTCTATATATGTGCCAAATATCGACGCATCCACCTAGAACTATTTACTCAAACTTGACTATTTTACGTAAGTATAAATTAGCTTAATCTTACTAATATTATAAATGCGAAAGTTTGGATGTTTGTTAAAGTTTGTGTCCTAGATTGCTGAATGGATCTCGATGAAATTTGGCATAGATGTAGAGGATAGTCTGGAAAAACACACAGGCTACTTACTTTTGTTTTGTATAATCAAGCGCGACGGAGTCGAGAGTAAAAGCTAGTGTATCATGATTTCATGCCTTTTCGGTAAACTATAAAAATCTTTATCCATTTTAATTTTTTAATATCATGCAGTTAATATGCCGTATTTTGCATCAATCTAAAATATTTGACGAACGTGACCAATCAAAATCAAACATTTACCGAGTGTTTTAAAATCTGAAATTAAAATATATTTTAGAATTACACTTTAAAACTGTTCGAAATTTATTAAATTTTTATTTATCTTTCAGCTCCAGTATTAACTATAAATGGTGATAAATTACACGTTGTTAAGGATAGATTTTATAAAGCGGGTAGTTTGATAAAATTATCATGTGCGATATCCGAGGAGTACATCCTAGCTACCGAATTCGAAACATCAATAGCACCGACAACAATAAAAACAACAACACCTATGACAACAACAACTGAATTAACAACTAAATCGAGCGCCGTATTCAATAGTTTAGAAATTATGTTGAACAGAAGTTGGAGTATCGCAACAACAACTATTACTTCAACAGTTAGTATAAGTACAACTCCAAAAATATTACCAGAAATTCAAAAAACTACATTAATACCCACATCCCAACCTAAGCTATTGAACAATGTGTATGGGTTGCTATGGAAGAAGCAAGGGAAACTTTTCAATGACCATATATCATGGCGTAATATCAGGCAAGTACTTCTTATTTTAATTAGATTTTTAACGAATTAACATGTTAAAAAAAATGAATTATACTTCTATCCTAAGGTACTATATATTTTGCTGCCGAAATCAGAGTCTTTAGGTAATCAATAAAAGCACGCGCACACTTGAAACTAACCTATCGCACAATTTTTTAGTTTTGCTTTGATATCTATAAGCCTATATAAAGGTGCTAACATTACCCGATTTTTAGTTGTGCAACTAAAATTGAATTGGCATCGAAATAATCGACAATTTCACAACTGTTGTGCGATTGATATTTTAGTCAAAGATGAGCGGCCGCTCTAAAGGTAACTTACTAAAGATTTAGTACGAGAAATGTTCGAGAAACGATACTTCAAATAACCTTTAAATTACTCTAAGTACGGCAGAGAATGTAGGAACAGTCTACCCCAATACTATTTATAACATTGTAATTTCTTCAATAGCATGAAATCGAAATATTCATATACCCTTCTAGAAATTATTTCCACAACAAATCCCACGCGTTACCTTTGGGAGATGAATCAGTTACCTAAATTGTTTACCATTATAAAGTTTTAGTTATCTAATAAACTTTGTAGGACGTCTATTCCAAACGAATATTATTCAAATACCTCAGAATTATTATATGTCATCAAAGTTTATATCAATAAAATTTAGTGTTTCTCTGCTGCCACTATTTTGTTTAGACAGTGAAAACCAACAGTTATATATTGAATTTAAGATCCATTGTTGCTTATAACAAACAAAATACAACTACAACATAGTATAAAAAAGTCGATTCCCGCTGTCTGTCTGTCCCTCTGTATGCTTAGATCTCTAAAACTAAGCAATGGATTTTGCTGCAATTTTTCTAATGATTGATTCAAGAGGAAGTTTATGTAAAATATGTGTATAATATATTAAAGAAAAACTAATAATTTCAAAGGTTTCTTATGTGATTTCTAAAATAAATATATTTTCGTATCAGCATTGGACCAAGCCGGGGGGATAGCTAGTATAACAATACAAACTTTAAATGTGTTTCAGTAATGGTCGAATCAAATCAGATGGCCTTTTACCCGCTAGTTGTCTTCCAAAAAATTTAATAACAGTTTTGTTACAGCGCTACAATAACTATTGCGTCTGCTTCGCAAGAAGATAACGGACTCTACACGTGTCAGTTGAAAAATCATTCACAAGTAACTACTAACGTTCACGTTCTCATAGGTAAGATTTATTTTTATTGTTTAAAACTATTAGTAGATTTTTGTTAATTTACTAATATTTCCTTTGACTATTCCAACTAAGTTAGGACATGGTTCACGACAATAGTCCAATGGCGGGATTCGGACCCTCGACCTCAAGATCCGTAGTCTGTACCCCAAACCATTAGGCTATTAGCCCTTGTATTTGCTATATCGCAGAGTATTTACACTGAGATGAATTTAATACTTCTCACTACGTCATAATACAAACATTTTACATGTCCGAAGTTTCCAGAAATATTTGTATTTCAAACGCAAAGGATTAGAAATACATTTATAGCCCGTATCAGTTTTGCTTTCATGAATAATTAGTTTTGATAGAGTGTAATTTTCATTTGTAACAAAGTTCAAAGGATACCGGCCTCATATCAAGTAATATGTATAATTATTATTAATTAACAAATATGAAGGATGATTATCTTGTTCGTCACGGACCTTGAGTTACGAGTAGATATAGCGTTGCCTATTAAATTATTTCTGCTCATTATATTATTTATACCTTTTAAACGAAAATCGATAATGGGATACGGATAGGATATCCACTTTCGGATACGGATCGGATAATTATAATCGAATACGTTGTAACTATGTGAATTTTGTCAGTACTTTCGTCACCATTGCTTTGTATTTAACGTCCAATATTAAGACTTGTTTACTGGCATGGAAAATTGACGCAATGCTTAATGTTGTTGCTGGCTGTCTAGAAATTACTAGAGTTTAGAAAAGAAAAGCTAATAAAAACATTTTTTTTTCTTAGGAAGTCTTCAATTTTATATTTAACTCATTGAGAGGGTAATGTTTCTCACGTGTTAGTTTGTGTGTATTCCTTTGTGATGGCCTAGAGCCTATAGTGTTAGCCGTAACTATATAACCTAGTGCCTAAATTAAGTGGTGTTATTCAATTCATCTTCTCCAGGGCTCTGCGCATAATTGGGTTTCAAAACCTAATCGTTACTTAGTGAAGGAAAAATTGTGTATGTAACTAAGCAGTTGTATATTTAAAACTAGGTGTTCCCGTGCGGCTTCATCCGCATGAAATTATGAAAATTTCATTTTATTATTTACATTTGTCAAATTATCAATTTCAAATGTCAAAATAACAATACATGGTGACAAACCATTTTACTTAATTTTACTTCCTTGATGTTGGCAGCTTGTAGCTTATGGTCCCTGTACCATATTGGGGCTTTTATCCAATTTATTTACCTCCTAAGTTTAATAGCGTGAAAATATATAGTCTAAAGCGTGCAGAAAGTGTAGGGATTTTTATTCAAAAATATTATAAGTATTGAAGTATAGATTAATATTAAAAACTATATTTCTTACAGGAGAAAACCAAGCTGCGGTTCACCACGACACGTGGAATAAAGGATCGACTTGGCAGGCGTATAATAGACCGATTTTATCTTTAATATTCTTATTATTCATAACTTAATGTAAACGTATAAATGTACTTCCAGATTGTATTTATATTAAAACTTGATTAATTTCAAAAGTACTGAATATGCCGTATTCAACTTTTACGAATTTTACGTGATATTTTGAATACAAAAATGTTCACATTCGAAAAACTATTTGTATTTTTTTTAATAAAACAAATGCTACTAATTTCAATATAATGTTAATTTAAAAAAAATGGACCAAGATGTTATTGAAAAATTGCTAGATTTAAATTAAATTTTGTTTAGTATAAAGATAAAATGTGAATTTTATAATAAGTTATTTATTCATATATAAGTTATTTACTCGTATGTTTATTCCATTAGTTATATGTACGAGGAGTTTTAAAAATTGACAGGTTGTTTAGATATTATCTATATGTTCATACTAATATAATATATATGGCTAAGTGTTAGAGACGTTAAATGTATATTTAATTAATATAATATATCCACTTGTACATATTGAATTACCAATATGGAAAATGGAAACGAATTTTATCGTTTCGTCTACATATAAGATAAACCATTTATAAGATAAATATTTATAAAATAATATCATCTGGTTTTTCTTCAATAAAGTAATGTAAATATAAATAAATGATCAACTACAAAATATTAAAATAATCTATGCCAATGTTACTGATATGTATGAATGTAAAATCATAATGACTTTAATAAATCAAGGAAAAACTATTATAAATCGTTTTATTACCTTAATATTCGACCGTGAATTCGTCCGCTTGAAATTAAAAAAATAAGTAGCCTATGTTCTTCCGAACTATCTTCTACATTCATGCCAAATTTTATCGATATCTGTTCAGCAGATTAGGGTACAACTCTAACAAACATCCATATATCTAAACATTCACCCTACAGTACCCATTATAGACCAATATTTTAATACAATATATTATATATCAAAGGGTAAAAATAATGTACATAAATCTATACTTATATAATAAAGCGTAAACACACACTACTTTGTGGCGTTGGATGTCAAAATCACAGCATATTTTTGAACAATTCTTTCTTTAATAAAAAACCCTACAATTATGACACGCTTTAGGCTATATGTTTTTTCACGCTATTAAACCTAGCGGTAAATAAATTGCAAAAACCCTTCATGTGGGAAAGGGACCATAAACTACAAGCGGCCAACATTAAGGAAGCGAGGTTAACATTGTAATTTTGACAATTGTTATTGAGAATTTGACAAATGTAAACAAAACAATAACGTTTTTATATAATTCCATGCGGATGAAGCCGCACGGGAACAGCTAGTTTATTATACGGGTACGAGGAAGTGTGAGGACTTTCCTTTAACTCTCGCGGTTCAAAAGATATTTTTTTGGGTCAGGTGAAATATTAAAGTACGCGTTGAGGCTAAGATAAATTACCTTTCTAAAAGTCAAGAAAAATTAATCACCCTTTGAATGATTCCCTTTAACTTGTAATTATTTCCTTAATTATTAACACACCATGTTATAAGATTTGCAATTTAAAAACTGTATCTATTAAAAAAGTAAAAATTCAAAAATATTTACAATAGAAAAGTAAGTCTGTTCGGTTCTGTTTTCTTATGTGACCGACAAAACGTAACACTATCGCGAAATAAGCCAGAGAATCGACCTGAAGATGAACCAATGTATCAGAAAGTAGTCGATGCCGCCACCGATACAATAGACGTTAGAGCTAGCTGTATCATCATAAACTTGCCCTCATCCCTTACGGAGGGTTGGCACAGTGTGTGCTGTTCTTCCATACATTTCTATCATATCTGAATCCACTCCCTTCTTAAGCATATCCTCTTTCACACAATCCATCGATACTTTCTTCGATCTTTCTCTTCCTTTGTAGCCATTTGCTTCTCAATTTCTCCGTTAGAGCTAGCCGTATAATAATTATAATAATGTCTCACAAAAGTTTGACCAGTTTTGTCTTTTTTATCTAAAAATTAAAACAATAAAATATATTTCAAGCTGATTTCATATCATAAATTCCGGAGAACCAATTTGTTATACTTGGACAGTTGATTGACAGTCGCAATAGATTGTCCCGACAGTTTCTGAACGAACTGTATCTGGAACTTATTATTGGATATTATGATATAGAGGCACGTACATATAATGTACTATCTTTCACCCGCGACTCCGTTCGCATAGAAGTAGAAAAAACAAAAGTAGCATATGTGTTCTTTTAGACTATCCTCTACATCTATGCCAAATTTTATTGAGATCCGTTAAGCAATTTAGGCTACAAACTCTAACAAAAATCCATCCATCTAAACTTTCACATTTATAATATTAATAAGAAATAAGATTACGTGCTGTATTTTTGTTCATAAATTGTGTTAAACAAGTCAAAATTTATAGAAAATAGGGAAGTAAAGCCATCTTATGTCGTTATGATGAAAACTACATAGCAAAGGACATTAATCTTTTAAAACCTTTTGTAATGTTAGTTATTTTCTTGATTTTTTTATTATAAAATTAACGTTTTTATGATTTATTTTTAACATTATCTCGAATACATTAGTTGCCAATAAGAGGACATATTTCGATCTCCATTCTACCGTTTCGAGGCAGTAATCAAAGTCCCGCTTTTACATTTGAATTGCAAATCTTAGATTGCCGACGTGCAAACTTTTCATCATTTATTCGGTCTAATTTACGATTCTGAATATAGCTTGGGATCACCGTTGCGTAATAATAAGTAGCTAACTACGAAACGTGCAAAATTTCACACTAACATCATCGAGGGTGAGCAGACATAAAACATTGTAACAGATTGTACATATGTACAAATATCTTCATCTCGTACCAATAAATGTTCTCAAGTTAAAGATATACCGTAAATCGTATATCGCGCGCAAAAACTTGAGATTAGTTTAACTGACAGTTATAATGTAAGTATTAATTCTAAAGTTAAGATGGTAACAAAGCTAAAGAGATAATAATAACATTTTAACATTACCTATCTTTGAATATTCTTTCTTAATTTGGAGGAAAGCAATGTTAAACCATTAATAAAAACTAAAGACGAAGCTGTGTATATGCAACTAGTTGTATGAGTTTTTTTAACGAGGGAAACAGCATAAGAGTTCCATTGAAACAGGCAAAATGGTTCGACTTACATAGATATTTACGTTGACCTTTATACGCCCTTGGAACTTGTTAGTAATTACGGCAATGCACAGTGCATTTGACCTGGCATTTTTAGTCACGGCCTCGTTAGCTTAATTAAGGTTTCCTCTTTTATCGCAAATTGTAATTGAGGTGCATTTTCAGGTTTTCTTCCAAAATGGATTTTGAAATGGAGCGGCGGAAAGATTTTTTTAAAATAAGTATAGAATTTTTATTAGGTAATCTGTTCAGGTTAGGAACCGGAAACCATGATTTAAGGAAACACTTTCATCAAGCAACTGTCTTTTTTGTTTTAATGAACACAATTACACAAAACCCGTAATAAATAAACTAATTTGTAATAGCAAACAGTAAGTAAATTTTACATTAGTAATAGCCGGTTTCCCAGCTACGTTTAACTATTAGTGTTTTTGGTTCGATAACTTCATGAAATGCGTTTCCGAACCACGTACCTTGAGTTTTACTCCATCATACAACCTAATACTAATGAATCACTTGGTAAATTATACTTCAATACTAATTGTATAAAGAATAAAGATTTGTATTTTTGTATGTATTGAAATAACTCAAATACTACTGCGACGTTTTCAAAGATTCTTTGACCGTTACAAAGGTAATTTATCTGTAACATGGGCTATATCGTTTATTTTTTAATATCACAGGGACGAAGTAGCAAGCAATAGTTAACGTTAAAAAAAATTCTGCATAAGCCAATTATTTCACCTAAATTAATTCTTTAATTCTATACAAATTATGAGCAATATTAAGGAAGAAATCTTTTCAATAATGCAGTTGAATATAGTCACAAACGGTTAATATTCCGAGAACAATTTGTATATCATAATGGCATATTGGTATGTAAACGCGGCGTAATGTGCGCATCCAATGTGCCGGCGGCGATGGAAATGGTTAAAGCGAGCGGAGGGTAGTCGAATAAATTCCATACCGCTCCCAGCGGGAAGCCCGTGCAGTGTGAACGTAGCTCAGCAAATGTAGCAATTAATTTTTGTAACCTTCTCATTTAATGATACGAGTGAAAGGTTTTTTATTTATTTTATTAATATACAGTTATAATTAGTTCTAAAAAGAATTTATAAACAGCGGGTTTCGCTAGAATCTGTGCGCATATGTAAAAATCAAAATCGAAGAAGTATGGTAAGAAACTTGGTAATGTATATTTTAATTTTGTTGACATTCTACCTTTTTAATGCAGTAATGTTTTTTTTATAGCATAAGGTGGCAAACGAGCAAGCGGCCATCTAAATCGACGGAAATGGCGAAGCGCTGCCAAGATCTACAATTGCAGGTGCGTGGCATTAAAATAATTTTAAATATTCTATGAATGTTGTAATACTTAATATTGAATTTATTTAAAAAGCGTAAACAAAACATATACATTGATCTAAAACACTATGAAAACAAAATTAACATAACCATTGACAGATCCTTTTTAACCGATTTCTTCGAGGAATTTCACAATTCGGTTAGTATTTTGAGGTAGGTTAATTCTGTACTTCACTATTGTGAACCTTAAACCTCGTGCCGTAAGACAGCATTTTCTATAACTTAATATGCAACGTACAAAAGCATTTTTTTACAAATTTTTGATAAGTTTTGCGGCTGATATTTATATTCTATTCGTATTTTTTTAGTATGTAGTATGTAGTTTATTAAATATAAAAAAATAACAAATACTGACATCTATTTAAATGTAATTTTTTACCTAATTTGGGTGTAAACTCAATTAAAACTTACTAAAGTTATTACAAAAATTAGCAGTTGTTTTTGAATAATAGGAATTTCTAAAATGCATTTTCGACCAGAGATAAATGTTTCCTCGATGCACTTTGTACACATT